CCTAGTAGTGTCTGGAAGGTAGAAGGTGCTTACTTATTGGAAGTATGTTTGCAGAACAAATGAATGTCACGCCTGTGCCTCCCTCCAGCCCCTGCACAGTACTGTTCTCCCTACATGGGCACCATACTTCCTGGTGCGCAGTACAACTCTGTGGTTGAGAACTCGGGCTCTGGAGCCACACTGCCTGGGATTGAGCTCAGGCTCTGCCAACTTACTAGCTGTGTGACTCTGGACAAGTGACTGGATATCTCTGTGCTTTGGTTTTTTCGTTTGTAAAATGGCTCTAATAATACTATGTAATTCAGAGGATTAAAGAAAACAGTAGCTAATTCATTGATTAAGAAAAAAAAAGATCAAGTGCTTAACACTGAATCCAGCATATTTCTCCTCCCATTCATTCTCGGTCAGGGCAAGCCGGCCTTCCCCTCAGGCACGACAACCACCTACAGCTAAGAACCTCCTCCTCCTCCTTCTGATTGTTTCTAGGACAAAAGCCATTTCCAGCTAGAGTTTACAGTTCCTGAGAATAGGTTTCCTGTCTGCTTTGTCTGCTGCTCCATATTGCCAGACTCTGGGAAGAATGGACTCAAAATATTCCTTAATGCACTAAGGAGAGGAGAGGCTGAAAGCGGCTAGGGAAGCTGGCCTGAACTCACTTTTCTGGGGGTAATTCATAAGTACAGAAATGATAGTTGACTGACTCAATTTTCTTTTTTAGATTTTTAAGCAGCTCACCCACAAAAACCTTTGATTTTATCTTGATACTTCACAGTTAAACCTAAAATGGTTACAAAATATAAAGAGAGAATTGCCTTAGTGAGGCATAAAGGGTGAAATGCTAGGATGGAACTTAATAGTGAAATGATTAAAATAAAAATTTTAAATAATAACTATTTTATAATATTAAAAAAATGGAAATTAGAAAACTTTCATTTTGCATATGTTTTTTCAGAAACCTACACTCTAGATAACGACTCCATTTCCCTTTGGAAATGGAAAATATGAATGAGGCTGAGTCTGAAATAGGAAAAAGCCCGGAACCTCAGCCAGGTCTCTGACACTTGGAGCCCCGGGAATCCTGGGACACAGCTGGGGCTCTTGCTCACTGACCACAGTGCTCAGCACCTGCCAGGTGCTGGGTCCACGCGGGTGGAATGCTGAATCTCCTCTGGAGACCCCTGTGCAAGTAACTTTTTGCTCATGTTTGTAAAATGAAATCTCTCAGAAATGCTCCAATGAAATAACAGAAAATGAACTTGATTCAGATGAAAACGTGGTATTTCCAAGGAAACCATAATAATTAAAAAAAGCCTCGGAATAACCAAAATCCTAGAAACAGAGGGGAAGTTCACCTAGAAAACCTCCCAATTCTACCCTAGAGGGGTACCATGGCTCCCATAATTGAGGACTGCATGCTACACTGCTAAAACAGACTGTATCCAACTCAGCAGGTTCTAGACAAGCCATTTATTTGAAATGCCAACTATATGTAGGATAAAGTCAGTGTTACATGCTTATCAGTAACAGTAGAAAAATAGAACCAGTGAAAACCTCTGTACAACTGTAATGATACTCAAAAGAGAAATGTATCGTTTTACAATGCTTCACACAGACGAATTCAAGTTTGGAGGTACCTAAATAAAAATACTATATATTTCTTTAAAAAACACTATGTACAGTTGAAGCGTAAACAAGTTTTACAAAGTACTGGTTATGCAGGTTGTAGAAAACACTTGCATAGGACAAGAAATCAGTTTAAGAAAAATTTCTGAGCCTTTAGCATTGAAGGCACTTGACTTTATACCAGTTAACAGCACAACCACAAGAAATGCAGTGTTGTTGAAGGTACCACCTCCGAAGTGCAGATGTGGCATATAAACAGCAAGTGGAGTTCAGGAATCTCTCTCTCAGCCACCCCATCTCAGAGCAGGATTCCACACCACCTGCCCACGGAACCCAGCTACACAGTCACGTCGTGCAGGTACACGATGAAGCTTCCAGAGCTTCACTCACCTCTTAGAACCCACATAAACAGACAAACACAAGAGGTTATTTTCAAGACACACACTTGCAAGTAAGTAATCTTTCTATAGAAAGGGCCACAGCATTATAATATTCAGAATACGGAAGATTCACACATGGTCTGAGGGTTTTCTAGAGGAAAAAAAAAAATCAAAAGACTTGCCAATACAATTACACAACAGCTATTGCAATCTATAGGACAAAAAGACAACTTAACATTTTATAAACCATTGTTCATACAAGTGTTAATGGAAAACAGTAAAATATCTTTTAGCGGGTGACGGTAACTCTCCTAGTAAGGTTATCTGTAATGAGGTTTGAAAGCAAATTACTTAGTAGACAAAGTAAACCACTGCAGAACCGGGAATAGCACCCATCACTGCTGCTTTAATAGTAACTTTCAACAGAAAGGTGAAAGTCAACCAAATAATTTTTTAAAAAATCAAACATTTCCCTTTGAGTTCAGTCCTAAAACAAAGACATGAATGCCTTAGAATTGCAAAACAAGTATCTTACAAGTGTTTCATAAAACATATTTTCCCCTAAAAGGCGGATTAAACATTTTGCCGAGTAGTTACAAGAAATGTCAACCCTTGCCCTCTAGAGACTGACACAGGGAGGCCAGCTTTGAGCCCACTGCTGCTGCGCATATGCTGTGTCCCCTTCACACCCATATCATCACCTTAATTCAAATGGACGAGTAGTGCCCACTGCGAGAACTTGAACAACAAATCAAAAGAAAACCCAGTAAAAGACGGCAATCGTCATAAAACAAGTTTTTGAGGAAGCAAAAACAAGAATTAGGTAAGGTTTCCTAGAGAGTTCTACAAAAAGACTCAAATAATAAAGAACTCATTCAAAATCCTTAAAATCTAACTGGTGATTGAAACGTCAAGAGAGCTGAGGTCTAGGGCGCCAGCCTAGAGAAAGCGAAAGGGGCGCATGAGAAAGGGTATGGAACATGGTCTGAGGGTTTTCTAGAGGAAAAAACAACTATTTTTCAAACAACTATTTTTCAGGAATAATTTCTGCCTTTCATGCTGCTGTTTTTTTCTCTTAGGAGTCAGAACTTAAATTAGTCACCAAAATCACAAACCTAAAACAAAAATATAAGAAAAAGACCAAGAGCATCTTGAAGAAACGTGGATCTTCTCTTTCCGCTCCAGGATCTAAATGGTAGTTCTCTAACCTAACACAGCGGGCACAGAGGGCGGCGATTGTCTGACAGCCTGATTGTCCGTGGCCTCAAGAGGAGATCTGGTATTCTGAGATTTGGTTCTCATGAAATTTCTACACTGAGTAAAATGCCAGGTCCTGTGGCCTAAATTTTATACTATACATGTTTTTTTCTGAGAGCAATCTTACTCAGACTTCACATTTATCTTAGTACAGCATTAAAAAAGATTGAATAGATGGGTTCAAAAGCCAGAGGCACATAGCTATTCAATCTAACCTATTAACCATACTTCACAAGATACATGAAAAGTCCACTAACAACTACCCTAACAAACACGAAACTCACATCTGTGTACCTTCTGCAAGTCACATCAGTCCACAATCCCATAGTTTAAAGCAGGCTTCTCTCTATACACATAGTTTAGCCAGGTAAGCTACTAAATTATTAAAAGCAAACTTCATAAATTAATTAAAACTATGAACAGTGGCCACTTATTTTCATGATTATAGTTTGGGGATATGAAAGAATATTTAATAAATTTTCCGAAAAATGAACGTCTGGCATCAATAGCTCTTATCCAATGTTTTAAAAAAAAAAACCCAGGTCATAGATGAGAAAGTTTTTTTCCACCCAAATTAGCTCTTCTCCTTCTTATTTGCAGTACCAGCCCAGCACAGTCTGAACTTGAAAAGAAATTTAAAACTGTATCAAAATAATTCATATATAACACATGTATATATATATACACATTAAAGAATATGATGGAATTAACAATTGTTTCTGGAGAGACAGACTGAGATTGGCTTCAAAAGACACCATCATCTATTATAGAGTCAAACCTCCTAAAAATGAAAGCAGAGTCCTATGTTTTTCTATCTTTAGAAAAAGGAGCCTCAAAGGCGATGCGTAGCTGACCTTACAGTAGATGAGTGTTACCTCTGGGAGCTCAGTACGTGATGTCACCGACACGGACGAGGGCACTAGCAGCAGCTAACTAGTCAGGCAGCAGAATGAGCGGCAGCAGTTTGCCGGTGTGCACAGATATACTGACGTGGTTCCCATTTTGAGACTATCTACTGTTAGGATTTTTTAAAATGTCAGATTATTCCTGAGTGTATATCCACAGGGTAAAGTAGGAAAAGATTGTAAGAGAAACTACAGTTTCAGGAGAAATCAGAGTTGTTGACACCCAATAGAAACCTATTTACTTAAAAGTGCATGTAATTCATTTAATATGGTAGCTTGTAAAGGCTCCCTAGCCCTGCATAGTTTTAGAGTGAGTGTGAGTGATTCATAGTTTCATATATATATACATACTTAGAAAAGAGGCTCCCAAACAGCCTTCATGGGAGGGAATGTTCAGAAAGTCTCTTTTCTTCTAAGTGCTACGGCTGTGTGTGTGTGTGTGTTTGTAGAAATACAAAATGAATGCTCAAATAATGTTGAAGTGATTTAAAAACTCAAATACTAACATATTTACATTGGAGAATAAGAAAAAAACAGTCCTTAGCTCACACATTGCCCTTCCGAGGGAGAGGATCTTAAAAGATCCCATGTGCTCAGTGGTTCAGTAAAATCCCAAACCAGCATCCCCAGTGGAGTTCAAGTAGGACATGTAGTGTTTCACTGGAAGAAAAAAAAAAAAGGTTTCTTTTTCTTTTTTGGTGACAAAGCATTATGCTATTATACAACAACTTTTTATAGGACACCAAAATTCAGACATATTTTGAAAAACATTTAAAAGAAAACATATGCTTACAAACACCAAATGACATCCATAAGACTGAAGCCCTTTTTTTTCCCCACAGAGAGCAAGACAACTGAAGGCAGCAAGCAGTCACTTCCCCCATCTCAGCTGGAGAGTTGACGTTCAGAACCAGAAATCCCGTGGTGTAAACTTTAAGTCAGTGACTTCGCTATTTCCACCGCTTTCTGATCCCATCTCTTTAGAACCTCATTGGGTGACACCCTAATCCACACTACCAGAATTCGCACGATCCTGACAGCGTCCACTCTGTGAATAAAGCACTAGCTTTAGCCGGGGCACCCGAGGCTTTTCTCTTTCCTGTTCTTCACTGAACCAGAAAACTTCAGGATCCTGACTGGACTCCTGCTGGAGGAATGAAGACCAGCTCCCAAGACTTATTAAAAAAGAATGACATTAGATTCATGGAGACGGAGCAGGAAGATTTCTGAACTAAAACAATTACTGAAAAGAGAGGAGCATTTTGATGTGCTGTTCTTTGGAATTTCTATAATTAAAAAATAAACACAGAACTATTTCATAAGAAAATACATCTTAGTGTGCAATCCAATGCACGTGGAAATTGGTAGATGAAAGGTAAAATGCAAAAAAGTATGAAAATATAGTCCTGTAAATGCGGCAATAAAGTTTAACATACTGATATAAAATCAATACAGATAAAATAAATGTACAAGTGCAAAAAAATTCCATCATTTGTAAAGAGAAAAAAAAAGTGCCAGCTTGCTTGCTCTTAAAGATGCTTCCCCACACAATTGTTCAAACACAAAATAGACAGATGCAGCATTCAAAATAACCCTCTCAGCATGCCATGTCTAATAAACATGTATATACAAAAACTAGAATAAAATAATGTGAAACTGAGTTATCAGCTGGCATCAATAAACCGGTCTCTAAGTTGTTGGGTCATCATAAAATGGGATGTTTCACATCTCAGGCACAGACGACTTGGAGGTTGCTCTCAGAGGGCAGACTTTTTGTAGAGGAAGTCTGGCTTGCTTGGCGACCTCCTTCCTCTGCTTATTGAATCTTCCCTTTCCAAATCCGTATTTCGCTGAGCTCCATGGCTCAGGGACTCGCTGTCTGCTAGTCTTCTACTGGATCTCTCTTCTGGAGCTTCAGAGCTACATGCAGAATGTGAAGGTCTGTTAGGAGTCAGCCCAAAAGTCAAGTCAGTTTCTACTGCTGTTCGTCCCCTGATGTGGGCTGGACCACTGCCAGCATTTTCTGGGGCTGCCAAAGGAAAGTCTGACCGCTGGGGAGGTTGTTCAATGACATCGAGGTGTATTGGCTCATTCTTTTGTCTGTGGAGATGCCCATCAGGGGAAAGTGGATATTCTCTCCTAGCTTCTTCCTGCTTTTTAGGAGAGGTGTGGCTAGGTAGGTACGCTGACTTTAAGCCACTTGGTGATGCTTTATTGTGGCTATACAAATCGGGACCAAAATATCCACCTCGTGAAGGAGAAGGGGTGCGTCTGCCAGGAACAGGAGTAGAAGGTCTGCAAGCAGCATTTGAGAAGTCATAGATATCTGGATATTCCTGCTGATTTTCTCGAGCATCTGTTTTTTGCTCTAGTGTGTGTTTCTTTCGAGACGTGTGTGTATGCCTCTGTGGAATACACGATAGATGCTGGGGAGGCCCTGGTCCTACTTCAGAAGCTGACTGGCTTAATTCTGTGTCTACAGCAAGCTCTGGAAGCCTCCTGTCCTTGAGTGACAGTGTGGACACACCCATGGCGATATCTGGCATTAGCTCATTTAGCACAGGTTGTGTACACTGCAAACAGAAACAAAGGTGGGGAGGGTTAAAAGAAAAAGGCCCATGATACCCTCTTTGCAAAAATGATGTCCACTGGTTTTCTTTCCTCATTATAAAAGTAATACATGCTTATTTCTAACAATGATAAAAATACAGAAAACTATACAGGCAAAAAAAAAAAACCAACCCTAACCTTCCCTACTGTGAGATAACCACTATTAGCATTTTGAGGTATTTCTCTCAGTTCTTTTTTGCACATCTATTAATTTTCAAAAAATTCAGTGTATATATAATTCTGTCATTAACTTTTTTTTAAAGTGCTATTTAAAATACTGTGTAATATTCCACTGTATCGATGAGCCATGGCTTATTTAACCATTCTCCCACTGTTGGACACATTAAGGTTGTTTCCAACTTTTCATTATTATAATCAAGACTATAAGGAACATACAAATAGATTACCTTTAAAGGGAGTTTTATTTAAAATATAAAGTAGTAGAACTCTCGTAACTGTAGAACCGAGGGCCAGGCCAACAGGATGAGAATTTGGTTTATCAAATACTATCAATCCTTGTTGTTTCTTCTTTTCTGGGGGTTGGGGGGGCAGCAGGGAGAGCAGGTAGAAGGGTATAAGGTGAGGAAGGATCATAAATTGACCCAAGGTATACAGTGTCCATAGAGTTCAAAAAGCCATATTTTAATGAAGATTCCCTGAACTAATATATATCTTTTGTTTTGCTCTACACTGAACGCTACTCATAGAGTGTGACTGAGCAGGACTATTGTTTTTTTTCAAATGTATTATATAAAACAATTCAACCTCTAGTACAGTGCAAAATCAAGCAAAGAATTCTTGCCTAATTTACTAGCTACTAGTGCTGGCTACTGTGACTCCCAGTCCAACGAGTGCTCTGACAGAAGAGCTTGCCAGAGGTGTGCATGAAGACTAATTTTCTGCCCATTTTCTGGATGGGGAGTCTTCTGCCACATTGTTCCTGACGGTATACTTGCTATAAGTAACTTGCCCTTCCTGCCCTATCAAAGCATTTGGTGGAATAGCAGATTCTGTAGAATACAAGTTAAGGACAGAGTCTAGACATGCTTGAACAGAACACTATGAAACTGGTAATATCCATGGTATTGCCCAGTAACGCCACCCCTTCTGAATACCTGCAAAGGAACGCAGGGATCAGAAAGGCACCTGACCACTCCTACCACATATGCCTCTAGTCTCTCTCCCTGTCCTTGCTCATCCACCTACACTCTCTTTCCCTCTCCCTCTGCCACACCCTCAAGTCTATGCTTTCAGCTTGTCAGTAACACTTCCGGGCGCTGAGCCCCACTAGGGCTCTTGGGGCAAGGGGAATTGCTTCTAATACTCCATAAACTTTCTTTTTTTTTTTTTTTTTAAAGATTTTATTTATTCATTTTTTCCTCCCAAAGCCCCAATAGATAGTTGCATGTCGTAGGTTCACATCCTTCTAGTTGCTGTACGCGGGACCCGGCCTCGGGTTGGACGGAGATGTGGTGCCTCGGGGCGCGCCCGGGATCCGAACCCGGGCCGCCAGCATCAGAGCGCGCGCACTTAACCGCTAAGCCATGGAGCCGGCCCTACTCCATAAACTTTCTATTTGAGGTAAGCTACGGGAGCTCTGACTCACCACTTGTTTCTCAGATGCTACTGCTGCGGAGGCGGCGGCGGCGGCAGCTACCGTCTGCCTCCCCAGCCCCGTGGTGTTGGTGCAATCAGGTGCTGCTGCTTTAACACCTGGCAGGTAGACTGGAGGGGGGCCTGCTTTAGGAGCCGTTCTGGAGTGAAACAGTGAATGATTACAGGGATAAGAAAACGAACGTGAAGGATGCTGACTGGGAGGTCTTTGTTTCCAGCCTGCTTTGAGCTGGTTATGGATTGGGGTAGCTGGAGGGTGGTAAGGAGGCGGTGGAGGGGGCAAGGGTGGATGGAAGGCCACAAAAGAGTCCAGATCTGTAAACATGGTTTCTGCAGTGGGGGTACTGTTAACTCGACATCTCCCAGACTGTCTCATTGTCAAGAGCGGACTTTCATCCCCAAAACGTTCATCAGGAAAGAACTTGTGAGGATTCTAAGAAAGATTAAAAGAAAAAGAAAAGTTAGAACATTTATTAGCAGATTTCCTAAATGGAAATTTACCAGCTAAGAGAGTTGAGTACCTAAGAAAACCACACTCAGCAAGAGTAAAAGGCACAACATATTTTTCTAGGCCAGAAGCCCAAGGAAAAATTACCTTAATAATAGTACAAAAGGATAGAGGGTAGCCTCTGTAGCCTAAGACACAGCTATCAAGGACAGCTGCTTAATCGGATATTCCAGCAGCAGGTCAGTTAATCTCTAGCAAGATTACATGATAATGCAAAAACAGGAAATAAAACCTAATTCAAATATGTCTTTGCTAAGAAAATAAAATTAACATTAAACCTCAAAGGAAGAAAAGACATACAAGTGAGGATCCTTCTAGAATTTAGTGACAAAACATCTGTACCCTCTCAGTCTGAAGTAAAAACTACAGAATACTATTCCTTACCTATTACATCTGACTAAGTCTGATTAATAGTTTGATAAACATATGGGAATACTTAAAATTATAAAACTTTTATATAATTTGAGATATCAAATTAAGATACAATTTAAAACGGCAAAGGGAACAGAAATGAACAGAAAAACAGGACGGAAACTACAGCAAAAAATGAAAATCAAGAATCTACAAATGGGGGCCGGCCCCAGAGCTTAGCGGTTAGGTGCGTATTCTCCGCTACTGGTGGCCTGGGTTCGGACCTCGGGCGCGCACCGATGCACCACTTCTCCGGCCATGCTGAGGCGGCGTCCCACATACAGCAACTAGAAGGATGTGCAACTATGACATACAACTATCTACTGGGGCTTTGTGGAAAAAAAAAAAAAGGAGGAGGATTGGCAATAGATGTTAGCTCAGAGACCGTCTTCCTCAGCAAAAAAAAAAAAAAAAAAAAAAAAAAATCTACAAACAGCCTGCTGCCTTGCCTAAGAACACATTTCACATTCCCCTTTGAAGACTCAAAAAGGGTTTGGAGTCAGTGGCAAGAGAATAATTCAATCACTCGACCAGATGGAATTAAATTTTATTTTAGGCTCTGATTTAGTGGCTGTGAGCAGACTACTTTACAAATTCCATCTTCATTGCAAACCAATGCTACTGCTTTTGTACCTAATAATTACTATAAATGAGGTTTTTTTCCTGCTAGTTAAAAAAAAACTCATTTCTTGATTCTCATGCTTATAGGATTTAAACCATCAGGCAAAATATTTCTTATAATATGGCAGAAGAGAGAGGAAAAAGAGGGGCATCTGGAAGATCTGTAAGTACGGCAGTAGGACAAAACCTGAAATCTAGTGACCACATCAGGGAGCGCAAGCAGTGGAGGGTCACAGTGGTCTACTTCCTCTTTCACCTCTCTTGGGCATACACACCACCAACTTTTAGCAGTCACCATTTATAAGCTTATTATGTACTAGAGACATGGTTGCTTACATAGAGCACCTCTTATCTTCACCACAATCCATTTGACAGGTAAGGAAACTGATGCTAAGAGTGATTAGGTAACTTGTTCCAAATTAACTAATTGGTAAGCAGCAGAGCCAGGATATAAACCCAGTTCTTACTTGAGAGCCTGTGCTCCGTCCACCCTACCACACTGCCTCTCACCAGGGGGGGTCCAAGACTAGAGGCAGTGAAAGAGCAGGTACTAAGAAAAAGACGCACGCTATGAGGGCTCCTTGGGAGGCCTAAAACACTTCCTGAATAATGGTCTAGGCTCCCTCTTTTAAATAGTTGGATGCCGCTTCCCACCTGCAAGAGTTCTGCAGCAGCATCTGCAAGACCGAATTCTCTCAGTACTCGAATCTGAATTTCATAGCTGACCGTGGCGCCTTCCCCACAGTTGAGTGCGTAGGCTCTCTGCACCTGCTCGGTGTGTCGCAGTTCCTGCAGACGTCTGACCATGTCTTTCATGATGAGGAGACGAGGAACTGGAAAAAGAAAAACAGTCTATAAGCAAAATACCTGAGCTACACAAAACGCCACCCATTGAGCACAGGAAAAAAAGCATGTGTTCTGCATCAGAATCTTCTTATAAATTTGTTAGAGTATTTTAATTTCCCGGCAACATAGTAATTTATTTATTTATTTTTTTTGTGAGGAAGATCAGCCCTGAGCTAACATCTGCCAATCCTCCTCTTTTTGCTGAAGAAGACTGGCCCTGGGCTAAAATTCGTGCCCATCTTCTTCCACTTTATATGGGACGCTGCCACAGCGTGGTTTGCTAAGCAGTGCGTTGGTGTGTGCCCGGGATCCGAACCCACGCGCACTTAACCGCTCCGCCACCGGACAGGCCACCAACATAGTAATTTATATACTTCTAACTACTTTTTAAGGTTTTAAAATTTCACTGTGCCCAAAAAGCTCTTGATAATAACAAACAGCTTCTGAGCTGTATTACTAGTTCACAGCCTAAATAAAATTTTACTTGCATATATTCTCTTCTGAATCTCAGTATATTTCATAAGTCTTCTAAAATATTCATTCTTTTATTCACAACATTTTTTGAGTCCTGACTATGCACCAGGGATTGGACTTGGGTATTAGGGTGTACAGAACGAAGGATGTGATCCCTGTCCTCAAAGAGCTCTGGTTTTAGTGAAGCAAATTAAGTAAACCAGTATAGTACAGGGCCATAAATGGTCATAGAGAGAAATACGCAAAGGACGCTGAAGGGATTTGGAGGAAGGGGCCCCCAACCCGACTGGAGGCAGGCAGGAAAGGCTTCCTAGACAAGGTGACCCCTGAGCGGAGTCTTGAAGAATGAGAGAAGACCAGGCAGGTAAAGAAAATGGACCGAAGGCTTTCTGAGCAGAAGGACCAGGCATGTGTAAAACATGCAAGGGAGGGACAGCATGGCACAAGTAGTTGCATGGCTAGTAGAACTCAGGGTTCAAAGGTATAAGCAGGAAGAGTATTCAGAGAGCAGGCTAGAAAGATGGGTAGGGGCCGATCATGAACGACCCTGTATGTCAGGATGAGGAATGTAAATTGTATCTTGTGTACAACAGGTAGTCACTTGTGCAAGGGAATGACAGGATGAGAGCTGTGACGTAGTAAATGCACTCAGAGTAGCGTAGAGCAGGGGTTGGCAAGCTATGGCCTGTAGGCTAAATCAAGCCTGTCATCTGTTTCTGTAAATAAAGTTTTACTGGCACACAGTCACACTCATTCGTTTAGGTATGGTCTATGGCTGCTTTCAGCATACAATGGCAGAGTTGAACAGAGTTGAGCAGTTGCGCTAGAGACTGCATAGCCCACAAAGCCTAAAATGTTTACCATCTGGATTTTCACAGAAAAAGTTTGCCAAGCCCAGGTGTAAAGGCCAGAATGGGAGTGAGTAAGATTAGAGGCAGGAACCGAGGTTAGGCATCGGGACTAAGGCTGTAGCTGAGGGCTGGGGAAGAGGAGGTGAAGTCTAGAAATATCTGTGAGACAAACTGACCAGAGTGGTCCTTGATTATTATTTTGGGGAAAGGGGAGCTACCATTCATTGACTGTTTACTTTGTGCCAGGCAAGCATCTGAGCATACTACTCATGGTGCTTCCTCAAATCTTCACAACAAGGCTAGAGAGAAGGTATTAGCTACATTTTGCAAACAAGGCAATTAATGCTCAGGGAAGTAAATATCTTGTCCAAAGTCACACAAATAAGGTGGCAGAGCCAGGATATGAGCCCATGAGTCTTCTCCAATAAGCTCTAAGCCTTTCGTTAGAGCACAGTAGGCAAGGAAGGAAGAATCAGGAGAACACTAGAACAGGGCTGTGTCTCCTTAAACAACAGAAATACAGGTCTTATTTTTCTGAACATACTTAATTGCGAATGTCTTTGAGCTTCTGAGATTCTAGTTATAAAATTAAGTTATGTTGATATTCAACTGTATTAACACAAGCTGATAAAAATCGTGCTAATTACTAGAGCTTCAAAATCTGCACAAATCAGCTACAGAAATATTTCTCTTCATAGTGTTATCCAATGTATACTTTAAATAAACACGTAGTGGCCAAATCTGATAGGGCAACCACTGAACAGACATTAGTCTCAGAATAAAATATATGTGTTCAACTAAAAGTTCTGCCATTATGTCTTTTATTTATCCTTAATTGAAAGAGACATTTATAAACAGAAAATGATGGTGCCATTTCCAATCAGTTTGCTGATTTTTTGAATCTTGCAATGGTAATTGGCAAGAGCTATACCTTTCACAGACAGTTACTAGACTGGCCATGGTGATCATTTCGTGATGTATATACAAGTCGAATCACTATGCTGTACACCTGAAACTAATATAATATTGTATGTCGATTATACTTAAAAAAAAAAAAAGAATATTGCATTATATCTCCCAAGTCACATGTATTTTAGCTATTACATAATAATAAAAATAATACCTAAGATTTCAATAGTGGAAAAAAAAAAGAGCTATAAATTTCTGAATCCTAGATCTCTATGGATTTTCTTACCTTAGAAATTGATACTAGAGCCCTTTGGTTAAAATCAACATTGACGCTCAGAAGTTTTTGGACACGACAGTTATACCTCTACCTATGGCCAATTTCCTCAAAGTCATAAGACATAAACCTGCACTACAATAAAATTCACAGAGCAGATCTTGGGAAACTGGATCTCTAAGAAACCAACAGTGATCACATTTTTGGGGACATACCTAGACTCAAAGATATAGGTTTATAATACTCTTCCCAGAGGGTCTTATAATGTGAGAAATACCCTATGGTGATAAAAAATCTGAATTCCTCTAAACCAGTGGTTCTCAACAGGAGGCAATTTTGCCCGACAGGACACATCTGGCAATGTCTAGAAACATAAACATGTTTCTAAAATGTTGTCAAATAAGGGTGTGTGTGTCTGTGTGCATGCGTGTGGGCACACCTGTGCTACTGGCACCTAGTGAGTACAGGCCAGGGCTGCTGCATACCCTACAATGCACAGGACAGACCCGCAATGAAAGATGATCCAGCCCTAACTGTCAAGAGGGCCAAGGCTGAGTAATGCTGGGCTAACCTGAAAAACTGTATATACTTGTTACTGTAAAATAGAATACAAAACAAAAAGCTTATAAGTATTTATTCTTTAAAGTGAACAATGCATAATGGGTATTGGAAAGTGGAAATCAGCTTATATAAAGAGGTTATAAAAAATGATCAGATTATTCATTTAAATATAAATGCCTGACACAAGGCTACTACCTTACCTGGAATTTCATTGGCTACGACTGAAGGAGGGCTTGACTGGTTACTGCTGATCTGCTGGTGGCTGATCATGTGACAGCACTGTGGCACGGCATTATTGACCATGTAAAGTGTGTCTGGCACATTGGACATTCTAACCATTCGCAAACGCACGAGATCTGTCTGTTCCACCATCATCTCGTCTAGCACTGACTGAAATAACAATTCAGTATTAATAGAATTAGTCAACCCTTCGTCTCTATTAAATCATATGTGGAAAAACATTATTACCTTCATCATATAAAAAGGGAATTAATTTATTGTTTCCAGTGCATGAAGCTTAAAATTAGTGGTGAAAGGAGAAAGTACCCCTACCTCTTTAATTTCTAAAGAATCTTTTTCAGAGCATCCTTGAAAAGAAATAATCTTCTAAAAAATTTGCTTTTAACTGAAGTACTTGAAATTTGAAGGAGGGATATAAAATTAATCAGAAGTACATTATACATAAAGTCACTATAAAAAATAATGTATACATGGGCTAAATATCAGATCCAACAAGAAATGCTCAAAATACAAAATATTAAAGATTGATATTAAATTCAACAGACCTAAAAATAAACCCAATTGTTAAACTAGTTTCAGATGAATCTATCTCAACAATCTATCTCTGCAGAATGGCCAAATGACAAAATGTACAAAGGTTTCCCACATTTGCTGGGGGCAATTATCTACTTATGTATAGGTACAGCCCTCTGAGTTAACAGGGAAGTCCAGGAGGATTTGCTTACTGCTGTCCCATTTTGAGACAGAGCAGAATGGAGGGCAGGTCTAGTTTATTACAGACCTTTTATCACCAGACTCAACCTCTATAAAGGACTCAGCTGCTTGAGTGACTTTAAGCACTTCAGAAAAGACCAGACCCAACCATTGTCGTCTTCTCTGTTTTAGAACTATCTAAAGAGTCAACTACTCAATGAGAGATAGATTGTCAACCTAGTTAATAAAATTAACTTCTCATAAATCCTTTCACATATCTTAAAATAGGAACTCAAAACAATAAAAGAGAAAAATTTTAAGGTAACTTAATTCTATACCTAACACATTGTTTTGCCTGTTAATTTATTTCATAAAGCTTACTATTATTTCAAAATGGTCATTTCTGACTTGCAAAGACTGTCATTTTCTCAAAAGGCCACCCCAAAGTTCTTATGGTTGAATACATCTCACTATTTCATTTTCACATTACCATATCTTCTTGGAGAGTTCTTTATGTTTATAATTTACCTAATGTCAACTTTTTACTTAATAGGCCTGAAATTTTTTCTTAGTTTGTGTACTTATTCTAAAACTAAACACAATTCTCAACATTCAGCCATTACAGAAATAAATTACAAGAAATCATGGCATTTCCTTAGTTTGTGAAGGAAAACAAAATGTGTGCAAGCTTCTTTCTGAACATTTTTCCCATCCTGAAAATCACAAAATACTGACAACCATTTCAGTAAAATAAATTATTTTCCAAGTTAATTCGCAAGGCAACTAAGATGAAAAAAATGTAAAATACAATTTAACATGACCTAAGTTATAAAAACACGTTTGATAATTAAATATTTCAGAAAACTATTCTGGTGAGTAGTCAAACTGGAATTTACTTTCACTTTCCCCATAATCGGACATTTAAGCTATTTCCAAATATTTAAACGATACCACAATAAATGTCTTTGTGCTTATAATTTGTAATAAAGTAGTCTAATATCTTAGAATGGTTTTCATTACCTTTGCTTCCTCCACATAGGGAGAGAACAGTCGAGGACGAACATAGATTCCAGCATTTTTTTGCCGTAACCAGGCATTTGACTTTCCACCTTCTGTTGTAGGAAGCATATCTGATGGAGGAGTACTAATCAAGCCCCTTTTCATCTTGAAAAAAAATTATTTTTTAGATAAACTAGAGATTTGTGTAGTACTACAATACCATTAAGACAAAATTAATGATAACTATAAATCAAAATGTTCAAACTTTACCATTTAAATAAAAACTTAGGAATATATGTGAAATTCAAAAATACTTCAAACGTTTAATAATACTTAAAGGATTCAGCAATAAGAAGTTATTACAGGGCCGGCCCCGTGGCTTAGCGGTTAGTGCGCGCTCCACTACCGGCGGCCCAGGTTCGGATCCTGGGCGTGCACCGACGCACCGCTTGTCCAGCCATGCTGAGGCCACGTCCCACATACAGCAACTAGAAGGATGTGCAACTATGACATACAACTATCTACTGGG